AGGGATTAATTAACTGCATTAATCAAGGGATACCTGTATATATATCCTTATATATACGTTACGTTCCGAAAAAGTGTCGTGTTATGCGAATCCGTGCTATACGAAACAAAGGACTAATGCGGAGGTTAATGAGGTTGCGTTCCAGAAGTTAGCAAAAGCATACTATTCATTTTCGTTACTAACAAGTAAGAGAAATATGTTTATGAAAGCAATCGATAATTTATTTCCAATCAATAATTAATTGACAATCACAATTAAAAGTACCGTATTACGCGTTAATATTAATTTTAGTTAAAGGAGAGCATTTTGTTTTTACAAAGTCTGTTCATCATTTTAGCATTTCTGTCCATCTTGATCAGAAGTATCAGCAACATTTTCATATTTTTTATTTTTATCATAAAATTTTTATGGATGACGAAATAAAAATACAGTAAGACCCCACTTAATGCGGGGATGCATTCCTAAAGAATACAGCGCTAAGCGAAACAGCTTAAACGAGGTCATTTTAACATAGAGTAAATAGGGATAGGGAAACACGCGACCAAAAATAAACAAATTTTAGTTTAATTTTAAGTTATTTTTATATTAATTTATGTAATAATATATGTTAAATAACATAAACATATGCACACAGAAATGTAAAGTTCATTTTTTGTGACGAAAGTCCTGACTTTTCTGAAATTCTTGTTCTTTTGCAATAAAGTCGTAAAGTTTCATTTGTCACTTTTTCCTTAATTAAGTAAATATCGGTAGCAGAAGGTCGCATCCAAAACATCTCGTTTTGCTTTGGCACTCCTTTTAAAATCTAGATCATTCGCTACAATTTGATCAACGATTTCGGTTATCGTTACCAAACTTTTACTGAGGAAATCTGCAGAGAAATTTTTTGGGTTCTTCGTTTACAGAATCTCTACTTTCCAGTTCCACTTGAATTCCATGTTCTGCCAGTTCTTGAAGGTCGTCGTTGGCAGTGTCGGCCCGAGGAAAGTTTTAGGATGGAGCGAGATCCAATTATGGCGCCCGGGAGTGGAACCCCGCCCACGCACACCACCCACGCGCGTCTCAACAGATAAGGCCATTTACATACTGGCCACACGCTTGCAATTAANGCGAGATCCTATTATGGCGCCCGGGAGTGGAACCCCGCCCACGCACACCACCCACGCGCGTCTCAACAGATAAGGCCATTTACATACTGGCCACACGCTTGCAATTAAAATATCGAAAAGTGAAAAAAATATTTTTTCCTTTAATTTTCTTTACCACTGAGGCGCCCCTAGGACTTAGCGCCTGGAGCGGCTGCTCCGTTCGCCTTATGGTAGGGCCGGCTCTGGTTGTTGGTAAGGCCCTCACCAGAAACCTGCCGTAACCCATCAATATCCTGCTCGTCTATATCTCCTAGTCCTGCTATATCGATTAGGTTGAGTTTAGTCAACCTAACGATACAGCGATAGGCTCTTTTCGTTGAGAATTCTTGTATACCTTCAGCCATAATGTCTTCCACACTTCGTTCGTACATTTATCAGTTAATTCTTGCCAAGCGAAGTCGATATATATTTTTTCCAAAATTGCAAGCCTTTTTGTCACCTTTTGCTGATTGGTTTGTGTTCGCAAATGATCGTATTATATACGAAACAATGAAATCCCGCGATAATTTAAATCGGCGTGAATTTTGAGCTTTTTTAAGACTTCGAGCAGACCGCGTTATATCGAATCAGCGTTAAATGGGGTCTTACAGTATGTTATTAATCGAAAATTCGTTCTAGCGGGTCGCGTTTGTTCAATCCAGTATCCAGAGAGTTTTCTCCAGAATTTGTGTTCGAATATCGAGACACTGTTGTATTTCGTTCGTCATTTTTATGAATGAAGTAATCATTAGTAGATAAGTAATACCTACGGTTAAAAAAAATTTAATAACACTTACCTAAAAGTGTTTAAATAAATGTGACTAAATACGAAGATTAATGTATAAACAGAAAACACGGTGACAGTCTTAAGGCTAAAGTCTGACGACGACACCCGATTGATAGGAAAGTTAGTTCAATTTATTTTTCCTTGTTCTATCGGTTTTCATTAAAGTAAACCTGACAAAAAGCAAAAAATAATTTGAAAATTTCAATATTCTAAAATCCATAAGCAAATTTGAAACAACACGCACGTTTACTTGGATAAAAATAAATATCGAATAACAAAATTTACACTTAAAAACTGAAATTTTGTACGGAGGATTTTCAAAACAGTGTTGCACGAGGGATACCTGTACATAACAAATTATTCATCTCATAATACAGTACATCATTTTCCAGTATCTTTTTTCTCCTTTTCCAATTTTTTTAATAAAAATTTCACTTTTTACATATTAAAAATATATACATAGAAGTTTTAAGTATATATTATTACATAATTTTAAATCAACTCTAACTCGTATCATGGTAATTGTTCAAAACTCAACTTTTTATCTTTAAGCAATTAATAATCATAACTAAGAATAACTTACATATGAAGTGTGGCATTAAAAGTGTGAAATGTACTGCTCAAAAGATATTTTATAGAAATGATACTGTTAGGATTTTTAAAACATTAAAATCAGTCTAACTATAATGATGTTCACATTAAATAATCATATTTTTTCTATATGAGATGTCCTGTTTTAATAGTTGCAGGATACCACATTACCATTTAGTTAGTTATGTCTTAGATTATACTGTATAAAGTGTTTATAAAGTTTAAATTTTATTTTTGTATCATTTGTCTACTTTCAATGTAAAACAAAATCATTAATTCTTTTGAAATATTGATTTTACAGTATCCTGTGTTTTGTTATGAAAATTAATCTTAACTGAACTAAATAATTAACCCATTGACTTGGTGTTACATATTTCAATACCTTAACCCCCGTATTCACCAACACGAGTTAAACAGAGAGTTGACGAACTCGAGTTTACATGTAACTCGAAGTCAGATTACGAGTTACTCTTCTTTCGTATTCAGATAAAAATTTAACTCTAGAGTTTCGCTACTTTAGAGTTAATATTTTAAAACAATCCTGCGTTCGAGATTAAACAAGTCTTCTTTCGTAAGCAGAGTTTTGATTGGTTGAAAGCAAACACGTGTATGAACCAGGGAGGAGACGAATAGAATAGAATAGAAACACGTGTAGAAAATGGCGGAAAGTGAAATGGAAAGCAGTGCACGCCGTAAATTTTCTAATTTTGAGAAGGAAATTCTACTTGAATTAGTCGAAAAATATAAATCGATCATTGAAAACAAGAAAACAAATGCGATTTCTTCCAAACAGAAGAGAGGCACATGGGTAGAACTAACAAAGGAGTTCAATGGTATCCCGGGTGTCACCCTTAGAAAAACCAAACAGTTTTTGGACTGTTATAAGAATTTAAAAAAGAAAGCCGTGAAAGAACAGGCACAAAAAAAAAGCCGAATTATTTAAAACAGGAGGAGGAAACCAATTCGTTCTAATAGGTTTCTTACGCTCTCTTTTGGCAAACGATATCGACATAGAAAGTCGTAATCGTCCAATTGTTCGAGGTCATTTCTTCTTGGAGAAATAATCCGCCGACTTCTTCTTCCATACGATCTATATAACCTAAATATTTCAGATTTTCTAGCATCTCGGCTTCGTCTTCGTCGAATGTCGCCATTTTTCTCTGAAATAGATCGCTTTGCGCAGGCGTCAAACCTAGAGTTATCGTCTACTCGCCGATTTTCTAGAGTTAGAGTTAGAGTTAGGGTTATTGTGTTTGACTCGAGATTCGGAGTTGGTGAATACCAATTTACCAGTAACTCGAGAGTTAACTCTAACTCGTGTTGGTGAATACGGGGGTAAGTCTCTCTATAATTCAGTGTTTCTGAAAATATTAAATTAAAAACTTCCATTTCATTGTTATATTTGATAATGCATATCATTTAAATAAACTTTAATTGTAAATAAAGTTTGTGCAGTATTTCCTAACAGCAAGAACATTCTTGTCACTTGATATGAAAACAATTTTTAAATAATAATATTCAGTGTTGTTTGCCTGCTTTTTTTACAATACCAACTCTACCAACAACTAATTTAATTGAAGTACAGTACATATGTTATACAACACTCCAAGCAACAATATTAACATGATACTGGTTAAAACCAATAGCTAAATATTATTACCATTATTATGTATATTACCAGCCACATGTTGAAGCTCACAGCACAAAATTCCTATTTATCTGCAGATACGGATTGACGATAATGTTTTGTATTTTACATTGTGGGACATGCTAATTCTGATCATATTACAACTGAGAGCAATAAATATCCATGGTTACAATAGGATTCTATTGTATTTCCAGAAAAACTTTATTCTAAATAAATCACATAAAATTTAAAAAATATCCTAATGATAACTCTATTTAGTTTCACTCTAGTATAAAGGTGGATAAAAATTATGATCTGGAACTATAAATTCTCACAAAATTCAAGATTAAAGTCAATCCATAAACTATTTTTGCAAATCAAATATTTCCATCACACTTTTTAATGAAAATATTTCTTATTGAACTTTCACAAATCCAAGTATTTTGGGGTTTTCAAATGCTAACCTACCAATATATCCTTCAACTGTAATTTGAAATAACTAAACATTTTCTTGTATTAGCATTATTTCTACTCTATACTTTCTCTGTAAATTGTTTTTAAGCTATTTACTTATTCTAATTCAGTTTAAAATTCTGTTTGTCTACAAAAATGGATATTGTGTGTTCTGTGGTTTGTACTATAGCTTTATCATATCTTGAGTTTTAAAACATGATTTTATTTACATCTGATATTTTTAAATTTAATCTAAAAACATTTGGGACTTTTGTAATTTTAATATACAGTACTAAATTTCAAAATTTTATTTTTGTTATGAAATGCTATTGTTAATACTTTAAAAAAGAAAATTATCATAAGACAATTTATTATTATGTAATTTTATTCAAATGAATATTTACAATAATCTATATTATTTTAATTTTTGCCTTTTTAACAATGCTTTTCTTAATGCCATTTGTTTTTCTCTGAAAGAACGTTTCGATTTTTGTTTTGCTTTGTATTTTATCATCATGAAAGCCTTATTTTTCTTCACTTCTTTCTGTGTTTTACTACAGGAAGGACTTTTCTTCTTTTTCTTTGTAAATTTCTCTCTTCCCTCTCTTCCTGCTAATACTGTAGCTAATCTAGATTCTTTATCATGTTTTCTTCTTTTATAAATTTTCTCAATATTATCTAATTTTACTAATTCTGTCGGTTTACTTTCATCAAATTTAAAGTCTGATTTTCTTTTCACTCCTTTATTTTTAGATTTTGATGGTTGCAAATGCTTAGCTATTTGCACTGCTTTTAGCTTTTGAAATTCCTCTTGACTTAAAATTCGAGATTGAGATATGCATGCTGCTTTTTGTATTGTTTCTTCTTGATTATTTTCTTCTATATCTACAGAATTATCTTCCTCATTTTCATCAGATGAATGATGTACATCTACCCAACCTTCACTATCTTCACTTCCACTATCAACAACTTTTTCACCATCATTATCATCATTCTCCTCCTCCTCCTCTTCTATATTTAAAGTTTCTGCACCATCCAAGTAGTCTTTTGCAACTAATTCACCATATTCTTTAGGTTTTAAATCTTTTGATGCTTCAGTAGGTTTTCCTCTATCTTTTCTTCCTAAAAGCCGAGGATTAATTGTCCTAAACAGCTGAATCAAAGAACGAGCTGCCATCATTACACTTTTATTCTTATATGATTTGTACTGAGCAAGATCCTGTAACAAATCTTCATTCATTGCTAAAGGACATCTTATACATATTTCTCTAATACCATTTAATCCAACAGCCATAACTTCACTACAATTCCGTTCGGTGACAAAGTTATTGGCTATTGTTTTCAGAATGGGTTCTATAATATCAGGTGGTATTAATTCATGCGCTGACTGAGCTGTATATACTAGAATTTTTGTTACATCTCTTTGATGCGGCTGAAGAAATTTTTGTAAGAACGGATAAAAATTAAAAAGAAATAACTGGTGTGTTCCAATAAGTCGAGATATCATATTAATGACCATCAACTTTACTTCATATTTCTCCATCATGCATTCTAGGTTTTTATATAATTTTTCTGCCATTCCTTGAGGATCATTTATTAAATGGACTGCAGAAAAATTAAATGTAGGTGGCTTCTTACTATTTTTATGCTTTTTTATAAGCTTTTTGGTATGTTCTAATAACTTTTTCCTTTTTCTGGTTTTTTTATTAACTTTGTTTGATGTTACAACATCTCTTACATTTATTTCTTCTTCTGAATTACTATCATCATCATCATTATCATCTTTTTCGTCTGATCCCAGAAAGAATTTCAATGCTGTAACTAAAATTTTTGTTACTTTTGAGAAACAAGCTGTGGCTATAACATTAACAGTTTTAGCATCGTTCCATATATTTTTACGATAAAGTTCTATCATTATATCCAGTGACATCTTAACAGCTACATTGTTTTTGTCCTTTAACATGGCATACATAAAATTTTGTAAGGTTATATTCAGCTTCATGTTTCGATGCTTTGCATTTAAATTTTTGATATCTTGAATGATGTGATTTTTCAAATACTTTCGTAGAAGTTTACTTTGACATTTTAGCAGCTCAAAAAATAATTCCAATAAATCTGTGGGTGCTAATAAGTTTTTGTTTCTTATAAGTACGAGGGCTCGACAAAATATCAAGCGCATTTCGGGATTTAAAACCATAGAGTATTTACGAAGAATCTCTATTAATTTTTGTGGATAATCAGATAAATCTACAGGATAACAATGGCAAATATGAGCTAAAAACATCACCTGATCTTCCAAATCCTTGTTATAATCAGCAGGTTTCAGTTGAAATACTTCCAATGACGATTGAAAGTATTTATACTGTCGCAAAAACTCATCTTTATAAGATGTAGGATCTCTTTTTACGAGATTTTGCAGCTGAAGAATGTTATTTGGAAGTCGATTGTTTTGTCTTTGCTTCATTTTTTCCTTCAAAACAAAACTTCGTCACTACGATTCACGTGTAAGACATATTTAAAGTAGAGTGTTGCCATCTGAATAAATTTTTCAGTTGCGTTAATAGCCCAAAAATAAATATACCTTACAGAAACTATTAAATTTATAAAAATACCAAAATTTAATATTATAAAATAAAGGTATATATAATTGTAGGTTAAAATAAATAAATAGACAGGAATAATAAAATAAATTATATTATATATTCAAACAAAAACATCTGAAATATTGATATAAAAAATTAAAACATTATGATAGAGTAATTTAGAAGACAGCTTAAATTTTTTTCTTAGGAATATTATTATTATTTTCATTTAATAATTATTATTATTTTCACAAGATTTTCATTATTCTTTCATACATTTCGCTTCAAAGTGAAATGTAGGAAAGAATAATGAAAATCTTGTGGGTTTTAACTATGAAGTTCGAAGAACTATGTCGCTTCGTAATATGAAGTTTATCTCTACCAAAGAAAAATTCATAAGAAAAAAAATTGACTAATCTTCTAAGTTGTCACAACTGTTTGCTTGGCGCAATTTTTTACATCTCAGATGCTTTTGTTTGGATATTAGTTGTTTTTGGTAAATGATTGTTTTATTACATCAAGACCTAAGACGGTGATGTATACAGTTCGGTCGGCGGTCGGCAAACGCTTTAGATACGCCGTTAGTAATCGTTATAAAAAGTTTTAATTTGCATAAATTTGAGCTTTTGTTATTCTGGAAACATTTTGAATGGAAATAATTTGTTTTCATGTAATTTTATTTTCTGCAAGCGTAAAATTAAGCGATAAAAGTAAAATAGCCCTGTGGGGGATCTCGTGAACTTTGACCTAGCGACCCGGATGTTTCTCCAGCAACCCACTGAAAACAAGAGAGGTTTAAGTTTAAAATGTAAGCTTTCTAGACTCAATAGTTTATTCTCTACAAGCCTCTGCACTAACGGATGATGAAAAGAAGATACTGTTTGTTTTTTTTTTTTTTTGGCGAATTTTGCATATTTCGATAGCTTATATTTAATCCTTTTATAGAAAAATCTGAAATTTTGCACACTATCTAAGAAAACTAGTATCTTTCGAACACGAAATTGGTCTCCGATTCTTGTATATATAGTCATTCATTAACCCTTTTGCTCTGTGGACAATAATTGGGCCTTTTTTTCTTCGGAAGCCCATGGGTTTGATAAGACTTACAATTGGGCGGACGGGTAGTGAGGGACGGGGGACAACACATCCGAACGACCATCTCTGAAAAATTGATGGGGATTTTCGACAGTCCAAATTCGATCCCGAGTCCTACAGAGCGGTGAACTGCCACCTTAATCACTCGGTTATTCGGCCGTCTATATATATTTTTATAATTAATTTTATCTCTATTCCATTTTTACAAAGTTTTTACTTTGAATCTAATACAATTTTTAATAGTAAATTCTCTTTTGAGTTACATGTAATCACAATGTGACGCCTCTGACAATTTATCAAAGTTTCCTATAAAAATTCATAGGAAACTTTAATAAATTGTCAGAATTTTTGTTCTTTGTAACTTCCGGAAATTTATTGACTATGATTTACCAAATGGTCGGATGGCCGATGGTCAAAGCGTCATCTTACCACTCTGGAAGACCGGAGATCGAATCCTGGCTAGCAATTCCAAGAATTTTTTTTATGGAAGATAGATCCAAGGTATGTAGGCTCCGGCCTCATAGGGGGCCTGGTTAAACCCGCAATGGACATGTAAAAATTACCTCTTTGTGCCAACAAAGCAGAAAGAGAAAAAAAAAAATTCTCCTGGAGTATCTGCAGTTTGCTTTGCATTATTTTATAAATTTTAATTTTTTAAAAATAAAATCAAAGAGGTTTGAAAAAAAAATTCAAATTTAAATCTGAACAATATTTCATATTTATGAAACCATTATAAACGAATTTGGCGCTGCTGTAGGAATAAAAATGGCGCTTTCTTCGAAGTTCATCGTTACAGTTATGAATTAATATTCTGTATAAATAGAAAATTTAATTAACGTTGCACTCGAGTAAACAATTTCGTGTTTATTTTCATATCAGAATTGAATGAATTTGATATAACCAGGTATTAAAAGCTTAAAAAGTAAATCAAAATATTACATTGCACGGGCCGATTATAATTTAAAATTCTGATTTAAATTAATTAATTGGACTTTGCTATCGCTCAAGTTTATTATTATTATTACTGCTCAGTTCCAAAATAGTTGTCACATTTGCCATATTTTCCTTTGAATTTACTAATATTTAATTATTCAAGTTATTTATTATTGTTGTAGCAACTTCATATACCAACAAATAGAACCAAAATTATTGAATGTTTTTAATTACAGTTTTTGTCAAGGTTATGAATGAGTAAAATGTGACATTATCAAAAAATGCATCCATACTTGTTACACATTAGCACAAGAAATAGCAACAATGGTTGAAATTTTAAGGAAAAAGAAGTTTAAACCAGATGTGACTGCAATGTTTGAAAGGTACAAATGCAGCTTTGAATGAGATGGTTAGAAATATGTCAGAACTTATCAAAGTTGCAGACCATGCCCATAGCAGTAAAAATGAAAGAAACTGATGGTCTAAGTGTGACCATTTACAAGATATAAAATTTAACTCCTGGTTGCTTGTTTAAACACATAATAGACTTAGTAGAATGCACAGTGTGACTTCCAATCGTACCCAGAAGTAGTCTGGCAGTGGCATTTCGTGTTTTATGAGCTTTTAGTTATCTCTGGTGAAGAGGAAATCAGTTTATTTTTAGCATTATTTTGAGAAATAGTTCTAATTTTTGTTTACTTTTAAATTTTACCTTGTTTATCTTAATAATGACTTGTTTATTCAACCATAATATACATTTTACTATCCCAGGAAAGTATTGTAATTGTCTCAAGTTTTTACTTTCTTAACTTACTGGCTGTCTTAACGTAACATGGATTACATACATGGCTTTTGAGGGTCTTAAAATTCCACGTAGGTTGATTTTGCAAAGGGTCACACATAGACCATAGGTTCCTGTGACTTTTTTACTCCTATGGGCATTATCTTCAGCCATAATAAGATCCCAACTGCCTCATTCAGAGCTGCATTTGAACTGCTTAGGTAGCATTCTGTAACTTTCCTACAATGTTCTGAAAATGAAGTAAAATGGCCATAATTGCAATGTCAAAACAATTTCAAGTTTATTTTTAATTTCCAAAGAATGCTTAAGTTTTGAATAAATTATTTCATTATTGTTGAAAATAATTGTTTATTTTATCATGAATAAAAGTTACTTATTTTTTTTGATTTGTATTACTTTGAGTTTGTTTTATTTGGCATCAAGTAAGAAATGTGACAACTATTTTGGAACAGAGGGAATATTATTATTAAGTTGTTCAGAGTTTTGAAGAAATAATCTATCTAGGGATTTTGAAGATCCAAGCAAAGTTTAAAAATTACCAATAAAACATATTTTTAAATCTATATAAGTATTATAGTACTTATATAATAGTCTTATGTGACTACAACAAGAAGATTAAAAATAATAGCAATTCAAAAATTTTTTTTTCTTATAATTAAAGATGATGATGTGTTTTATCACATGCTATCATCACTTCATGCCATGTTTGAAATGGGAAAAAACTGTCTACAAATTGAACTGATGCTAATATTTCTTTACCTGCATTAGAGAATGTACATGACATAAAAACGGAATGAGAAGCAAACAATTACTGTGCTAGTTTTCTAAGCTAATGGCTGTGTTGTCATCCCCATGGTGGTTTTTCCATACATCAGACCACCAAAAGAAGTCATGAACATGCCAGAAGATCGGTTCTTGGGTTGATTTGAAACTGGTTGGATGAAAAATGAGATTTTCTATGAATATATTGTTAATGATGTAGACAAATGGTAAACTGCTCAGAAAACAAAATGGCTGGTGCTGCTTTTAGTTGATGGACATTGTAGCCATTTAACACTTGAGCTTAGTAAAGAATGTCAGAAGAAAAGGATCATTCTTTGTACTCTGCTCCAAATATTACCCATATCATGCAACCTGCAGATGTGAGTGTCTTTAAGCAGACATTATGGAACTGGCAGCAGAAACCAGAAAATGTACAAAAGCTTGTAACAAAGGCAACATTTTGCCTTCTATTATCTGATGTTCTGAAGACTGTAACTCCTCCTATTAGCAGTGGTTTCAGAAAGTGTGGGTTATTTGTATCCAAAATTTATCCAAAATACTTGAGAAAATCTTGAACATTTAAACAAAATTGATGACAAGTCTAGTAGACCTACCAGCCATACAACTGTTTCTTTCACAAAACAAGATTGTGAATTGCTGAAAAAATCTTAACATTTTAGCCATCTCTGGAGATTCATAGCATCAACATGAATGCTTTAATGCAAACAGTACAAAATGCTGGAAAACAATTGAGAAATCAACAGAGAATTTAGAACCTGATCAAATATACATTCCTGCAAATAATGACAATGCCTATAAAATACATTTGACACAGGCCCACTTCCCAATGACAACTGTGTTCTTGATATTTATACTGTCAACTCAGAAGGAATCCTAGAACTTAAAAATACCAATCATACTACCATTACTCTTGATACTACACATGTTCTCGAAATCACACTCTCTTTACAACAGGCTTTCTCTGCATATATCAACTGACAACTCATCACTATATCTCAATTCATCAGTTGTAGGTGGTGATTACACATCTGACAATCCACAGGTCTCTGAAATGCAGACAAAGTTTAATCCAGCTCAAATCCTAAGAAATTGGTAACATCTACACTAGTATTTAGAAATCAAACTTTTCCAAATCGTGCAATTTTATCAAGTTCTGAAAATTCTGAAACAAATCAGTCCGATTTCAATCTATCTCCAGCAATTCCATATACATCATCACATGAAAACGTGTCTCCTGGTTTCCTTCTTTATTTGTTTTGGTCATAACCAATTGTTACAAAAAAGAAACATGAACTGAAAGAACCAAGTGCTATTGATTCCAAATCATGGAGAGAGTTCATATTAGATAAGGAAAGAATAAAAACAAGCGAAACAAAAGAAAAAAGGTGGAAAATGGAAAGAATGAAGAAAAAAGCTGAGAAATCTTCCAGGAATTGTAGTAGCAGAAGAGGGAAATGCAGAAAAGTGTGCAAGTTGTGCTGAGGATTTAGATAGTGACACAGAAGTGGGTGAACTAAAAAATGTTGATATTGAAGCAGGTGGTACCATTTGAAATGCTCACCAATAGTGGGAATCGCTTATAATGTAATCATTCATATGATGTTTGTATAACAAATAAACCATAATTCACATAAGTGTTTAAGTGAATTATCCTTCTTATCCAATTGAATTTATACAGATAAACACTGCAGTTCACTTATGTGGACGACAATTGGATCATCATTGGTTGGACTTGGGAATTTCCTGATCAACTACTGGGTGAACAGTCCATGTCATTAATTTATTTTGTTTTATATTAATGTAAACCAAGGGTCTCCAAACTTTTTTGATTGTCAACCCTTACCAAAAAGTTTGTGTTTCAAGCAAAACAAAGTACTTACTATTTTAATTCATTTCTTGTAATTTTGCATTTTTTTTTTCATTTATTATATATTTGTTGTTAATAATTTTTGTAACTGGCAATCAGTGAGACAAATAAGCTTGATTCTTAGCGCCCCCTTATCCTTAGCTTAAGCTTGATAATCGACTCCCCAAATAATGTTATATCAACCCCTTTGGCGACCCCTTATGTAAACAAAGGTGAAATAAAAAACGTTTTTTCCATAACAAGTATAGAACAAACTTTATTTTCATGTATTTTATTTTGCTTTTTGTGTTACTAAACATTGTAATAAAAAATATCAAAGTCCAAAACATCATTAAATGATCGACTACTGATGCCATTACCCTATATAATTAACTATGTTATATTCTTCATTTTCTTTCTATAATTAAATATCAAAACTATATTAAAGTAATGTTTTTTTATTTATAGAAATGTGTACTTTATCAAATTTTCCTATACCACCATTGTCTGGAGAAATAACGTTAGGTGAATTTGAAGGTCAGTTAATATCAGGATCTTCTTCCTTAGATATTAGATGTTTCAAGAATGTGGTAAGTAATTAATATTAAAATTGTAAATAATTCACAAATAAATAAACTTTTACTATACATTTTATTTTATAAAAATAATTGAATTTATTTTTAACTTAAATTTTATTCTAGAACATAACAAAATATTAGACAAATGTTATTTTAAATTAAAACTATCATTAATTTGGTACAAATGAAGCTCTTTATGAAGCAGTTGGAACCTTATCAAAACTGTACACTATTCCTATAGGAGTAGAGAGTCAAATGAATATTCTAGTTTTTTCAGCTTTCACTAAAAGTTAAAATACAAAATAGTCATTCTACACTAATTTTACTATTTTTGTTATATCTACTGTACTTGTTATTGTTATGTCTGAAACTTTTAGATATTTTAATGCTTTGAGTTTATATATGTTTGTAATATATGTTTATATATGTTTGTATGTTTTATAGAGTGTTCACTTTAACCACTCAGCAGTGAGTGACGACTATAGTCATTAAATTGTTTTGGGGGTATTGCCAAAAACTAGCCTAAAACTACCGCAAAAAAAATTCACATAAAAAATGAATTATGTAACAATAAAAAAGACTTTTCTTTACTAGACATAACTGTTTTCAAAATTTTTTTCCAAAACAGTAATGAGAAAAAACGCATGGAAAAATACTTTAAAAATTTCCTATGTTTATTCTCCACTATTGGGGGTAGAATCATACCCAATTAGTCTACTGTTGAAAGATTAACATTTATCCAAGTACAAAAGAGATCTTTCCTAAATTGCATGATAACATGTATAGCCTATGGTATTAGTTTCACTGATGTTTACAATAAAATAAATTAATTCATTTAAATAGAAATATGTAAATCATGCAGATATTCCACTGCACTATGTAAATTTTCCAAAATGCAGACTAAAAGTGCAATTTTCACAGCATGTGACAATAAAATAAAGTTTACACATTAAAATTAGTCTCAACAAGAATTTCTAATTAAACAAAAACATTTTTGACTTAATTAAATCACATGCCTCTGTGTCCTTATAGTATTAATATAGTATTTAAAATGTCTACTCAGACTTATTTTATTGACAGGACGTATTATACCGACATCTTTGTTCAGCAAAAGTTAAGAAAGCCTATCAGAGAAAACAGTCTTTATTTTTCACCTGTACACTTTATACACAATATTGTGTTTCGGACTAGTGTTTTTTATAATTTACATTTCTTATAATTTATAACAATTTTATAATTTACATGAATAAGATTTGGATAAGATGCAATCTAAAAATTTTTTAGTAAGTTTTATATTTGTCCATTATAATTTCTCAGTGCATGCAACCTTGTGTCGTGCGGCATGCATCCTACTGATATTGAAATTCTTCCTACACTCACTATAGCATATTTGTTGTCACTCCTCCCATAGCAGCCACAATTCTATGGCTCCTGCAGATTACACATGTTGAATAATGAGTGATTCTGACTGCAAACTGTAGAACACAAAATGCTTTCTCTTTTGTGGAGTCATCATTTTTATTTATCACACTTCCTAGTGGTAGGAGATGACAAGATGTTTGAATGCAGACAGGAGATGAAACTTGGACAGTTATGCTATTGATTGGTGACATCACATAATTCTCAGATAGTAATTAACATAATTACAGCAATTTAAAATGGTAGCATTCATCTTGGAATACCTTGTATTATTGCAGAGTTGTATATCAAATACTATCATTATATCATGTGAAGTACTGTACATATCTATGATATTAGAGAGGCTGCAGCTGATGTTTTCATCGCAAAAACGTGTACGTTGGACATTCAGCACTGTCTTCCTGTAAACCTAGAAGTTTGACAATGGAGTTTGGAATGTTGAGCATGATTCCACTGACATTCCAAATGCCATTGTCAAACTTCTAGGCTTACAGGAAGGTGGTGCTGAACTGCCAGTTCTACACTTATCTGCAGGGCATATTTGTATCCTTCAATGCCAGCGTTTATATGTAAGGAGCTGCATCTGGAGGCAACTGCTGTATACAAAGCTGGTTATTCATGCCCCAAGTTTGAATTTGTTAACAATCTTGCCTGCAGATCTCTCTTTATCCAACATATACATTTTTGCATTGAAAACATCACCTACAGCCTCTCTATTAAATTTATCATTTTCTTTCCTTGCAAACATTTTATTAATATACATGGTTTACTTTATAGATAGNTGTATATGTATGTATTGTTTACTTGAGAATACAACAGAGAATAAACTGCCCAAATACCCTTAAAGGAAAAGTACGTCCTTTATGAAGGCATAGAGCCTTTACTACATGAAAATGAAAATTAATGAATACACTGTGTACAGTAATTTACCTGATAAGACAGACCTCAGAAAAATACTTTATGAGGCATAAAGCTGTCTATAATGAAAATTAATTAACTAAGGATATTTTTGCCCTGCCAGAGTATGGCCGAGTTATCCGGACTGCCGGGTTATCGAGTGCCGAGTTTTTGAGACTCTACTGTATTGTGTATAAAGTGTAGAAAAATAGACTGTTTGTTTTCTCTGATAGGCTTTCTTAACTTTTGCTGAATAAAGATGTCAGTATAATACGTCCTGTTAATAAAATAAGTCTGAGTAGACATTTTAAACACTATGCTATTTTTGACTTAAGTTTATAGACCTTCATCAGTTGTGCAATTGAAAAAAAAATATTTTGAATGAGTGGAATATTTGAAAGAGAATACATATAAAATTTAAATACAATGTAACATTAATAACAAAATATAGAAAATAATAAGTAATTACAAACAATTATATAATTAATAATAATTATTAATAAACAACCAAAATAAGGAATTAATAGATGTAAATGAAAGAGCTGGGGCATTTTAGATTTCATTGAAAGAAGCCCATACAGTAGATATTAAGTCTGTATCCTGATAATTGATACAAATTTTTTGCTTGCTTTATAAATCTTCAAAGTCTCCAAATGGTCAAGTGAATTTAGGTCTTTAGCTGGTCTGATGATTCTAGCATAGGTCAATGATTTTATTGATGACTGATGCTTTAACAGTAAGCTTGTATATAGGGACTACCAAATGCAACTTGCCATATAGAATTAAGGAACATCAATATACCATCAACAGGAATCTTGGAACCTGATTATTATAATCATGGATAATGTTATCAATTGGCTATTGTTATCATAATCAGTCGTTCCCAACACACACGGTATAAAATTAGTTAAAAATAATTCTCCTATTATAATCAAACATTGGCTATTGTTATCATTGTGATAATTACGTTTAGGGACAAATGATAAGAATTCTTAGAAAATTCATACTAAATGGATCTTTTGCTTGAAACTTACTTTTAACTGAAATATATATTTTATATTTATACCAACAACAAAAAAGCTCATTTATGCATATCAAAACTGATTAAATTTTAATCTAACTAACAGTTATATTTTGAAACACCACAGATGATAATCATAATTACATATTTATTAGTTTGGTTTAACTAAAATTATACTGTTTTTAATTTTATTTTTAGATTGCATCTTATCCAAATATTGATGTAAGTTCTGATATTCTTCGTCCACACGTAAGCAGAGAAAGTGCTAGGAATGCTTTTATAGAAGCATCAAGTACTACTTATAAAAAAATAATAAATTCATGGTAAATACAAATATTTTTACATTGTTATAACATAATATCTATTAAAACCATAAGTTCATATACATANTTTTGATTTTAATTCTGTTCCAAAAGCTTTTATCAAAATGCATATTATTAACAATTAAAATATTAATATTAAGATATATATTATAACATATAATTTTTTTTTCTTCTAGGAATGAAAGTGGAGTTTTAGGTGTTTTAAAAGAACTTTCTAGGAATGAAGTAAAAGAAAATTTTGGTTTGTTTAGTTTCAAACAGTTTTACTTGTAAATAATTTTGATTAATTTTTTTTTCTTTTCTTGAATAGCTGACTTGGAGTTGTGTTGTAGCACTTCATTTACATTTACTAACTTTACTCTCTTGGATGTTATGTATATAACATGGGAAAGTATTGTAATTGTGTTAAATTTGATCCTACAGGTTTTTTGCAAATTTTGATGTTTTGAGATCCTGAACCCAAGAAAGTAAAAAAAAGAGAGAGTTTATATATATATATATATATATATACATATATATGTTGGCATCTATTTCAATATCTCAGGATGGGATAAAAATTAAGAAACAAAATTTGACTAGGTAACTTGTATATAAGGAGCATTGATGCTATGAAATTTTGGTGATTAAAGGTTTAGGGAATAGGGAGATAGAGGGGAGGTCATCTCTCATATCTTAGTAGGATTGAGCTTAGTGAAAATTTTATTCATTATTTGTTGTTATATAATTTGGCAATATAACATATTAATGTAAATTATAAAATTGTTATAAATTATAAGAAATGTAAATTATAAAAAAAGTAGAGCCAAAGGGAGGGTATAGTGTAAATTAATTAATATTGTTGCTAATTCATCATTTTTAACTGTATGTGAGTTGTTAAGTTTATATTTAATAATTAAATTGTTACACTTTATAACTGCTCATTTATTTGATACTTTTTCACAACATTATTGGCATTTATAATTTTTAAAAAACTCATCTTACCTTCCAAATTAAGCCTTTCATCTTTTTATAATAATTAATAATGAAGAACAAGACTCAATATAATTGGACAGACCATCCCTGAAAAATTACTGGATCTTTTCAACCCACCTAGATTTGTTTCTTGATCCTAGAGTGTTAGGCTGATACTTTAACTGCCTCAGTCATTCAACTGGCAATAATTATTATTAAACATTTTTAGTCAATCAAGAATTCCATTGTTTATATAATTTGTTTTATCACGTTTTCTAAATTTTTACAAACTAATATACAGGGTTTTTCAAAAAGAATGCTACCATTTTAAATTAATGTAATTATGTTATTATCCAAGAACATTGTAATACACATTAAAATGTTGGAAAACTGTCCAAGTTTTATATTTGTCCATTATAATTTCTCAGTGCATGCAACCTTGTGTCGTGCGGCATGCATCCTACTGATATTGAAATTCTTCCTACACTCACTATAGCATATTTGTTGTCACTCCTCCCATAGCAGCCACAATTCTATGGCTCCTGCAGATTACACATGTTGAATAATGAGTGATTCTGACTGCAAACTGTAGAACACAAAATGCTTTCTCTTTTGTGGAGTCATCATTTTTATTTATCACACTTCCTAGTGGTAGGAGATGACAAGATGTTTGAATGCAGACAGGAGATGAAACTTGGACAGTTATGCTATTGATTGGTGACATCACATAATTCTCAGATAGTAATTAACATAATTACAGCAATTTAAAATGGTAGCATTCATCTTGGAATACCTTGTATTATTGCAGAGTTGTATATCAAATACTATCATTATATCATGTGAAGTACTGTACATATCTATGATATTAGAGAGGCTGCAGCTGATGTTTTCATCGCAAAAACGTGTACGTTGGACATTCAGCACTGTCTTCCTGTAAACCTAGAAGTTTGACAATGGAGTTTGGAATGTTGAGCATGATTCCACTGACATTCCAAATGCCATTGTCAAACTTCTAGGCTTACAGGAAGGTGGTGCTGAACTGCCAGTTCTACACTTATCTGCAGGGCGTATTTGTATCCTTCAATGCCAGCGTTTATATGTAAGGAGCTGCATCTGGAGGCAACTGCTGTATACAAAGCTGGTTATTCATGCCCCAAGTTTGAATTTGTTAACAATCTTGCCTGCAGATCTCTCTTTATCCAACATATACATTTTTGCATTGAAAACATCACCTACAGCCTCTCTATTAAATTTATCATTTTCTTTCCTTGCAAACATTTTATTAATATACATGGTTTACTTTATAGATAGTAAAAAAAAAATACCTTTCAGTACAATGCTTATATGTAGTCAATTGTATTTTATTAATATTTTTAAATATTTAGTGTTAATTTTAAAGTGAATATTTGAAAATAATAGTTTTTAATATTTTAAAAAATAGTTAAAATTTTGTAAATGAAAAAAGTTTTTTTATTTTTTTTTATTTTAGTATATCATTGGATTGGAAAGGCTGCAAATTCTTTACTTACAACATATAACTGGTTCCAAATATTGAAGGCTTCCATTTTTCCTCATCTCAGGGTAATTAAACATTTTATTATTAAGGCCAAGCTGTCAGTTTTGGCTACTTGACTACATTTTGACACTTAATTTTTAACTGAGAATAAAACATTCATTGATAACCTTACTAATAATATTTCTATATCTTTTAAAGTAACCTGAGTATGATTTGTATAGCAAACTGCAAAGACTTGTTTTGTGTAAATGCTTCAGTGTTAAGGTGTTGCTGTTGTTGTTACCAAGATATTGGGAATTATGAGAAAAAAATATTGATTTTTGTTTTCATTTATTGTTTGTTATGGATAAAAATGACGATTTTTTAAATATTGGTCAATTTTAGATTTTTGTTTTTTGTAAATATGTATCTCAAAATAACTGTGACATGTTATGACTATTTCTTCAGCACAATATAAACAGATTGAAAAAAGTTTGTCTGAAGTAATTTACAATGCATCTGGAAGGAGCATGTGGAGTTACTGGCACAAAATCTGCTAAGAGTGACTAAACTAGTTAAAATACATGTATAAATTTTAAATGCATATTATAATTCTAATGTATATTGAAATTTTTCATTGAAAATTTGTAGAAGTCTGAAAGATATTTATATTTACTTACTTACTTGCAATGGTTATGGAACTGGCAGCAGAAACCAGAAAATGTACAAAAGCTNTATTAATACAAGATTAAATTTTAAAATAAAATACTAAAACACTATAATATGAAGACTCCTTTTGTATTTTAATCACAATTAAATATTTTTTGAGACCTTTTTATTTGTCATTTGATTGCAATGCCAAAAATTTTAATGGTGCTATTTGAACATTTGAAGTAGAGTATTTTAAGCCATAAAATGTCTTAAAATATAATCTGTAATTTAAAAAAAACTTTGATATATATAATATAGAAATACAAAAGGACTCCTTAATATTATATCATATTTACTATTAGTATTTTCCTTTAATGGAGTTGTATAGATCTGAACAGATTAAATTTTATTTGATATAATTAATACAAGGATGGATCAATAAATAACCAGTCATGATGATGTTTTTAGCTGCTTATTTATTTATCCACCCTTATATTTTTGAAATATGTCTAAAATTAAAATTTTTAGATATCATTTTTAAACTTAAATACAGAATAACTAAAAAGTTACCATACACTTACATTATATATATTTTTAATATAAGTGGAATAGTTTTGATTACCTTATAAAATACACTTAATAAAGTTTATTTAAATTGTATATATTTATACAAATCATGTGATCAAATTACATTGTATTTTAATATTATTATTTAATAAATACAGTGGGTGATCAGTTAACAAGCAATTTAGACTATGAACAAATCGGATAATGAAAACTTTCACAAAGATTTTTATGTTCAAGTAACAAACATCTCACAGAACAAACACAAGAAGAAGCAACGTAAAACAGTGAATATCAATTGGCCTTCCCTTGTCTCTAGGTGACAATTCAAAACCTTCTGCAGCTCAGGAAACATTGCCATCAATGCTCAATCCGATATCGACAGATAGTATTCCTCTGAACTTTGAAACTCTCTCCCTTGTAATTCTAGCCTTTTGTTTACCTTTCTGACAAAGAATATTTTTTATAGTCTTCACAAGACTGTCGGGCGGGCACTCATTAAATTTTGTGTCAGTTTTTATTTTCAAAAGGAGCAAGTTTAATTGTGTCATTGGATATTCATTAACATTTTAACACCAATTTCAAATTTCATCCGGGTCTCACATTTACAAAATTTTTTTGTGCACTAGTTGATTTCTGTTCTATGAATTTTTGTAAGTGCTTTACCGAACTTTTTATTTAAAAAAGAAACTGATAATATGGAATCTAAAAAGATTGGAGTTTCAAGAACTGTGCTTACCACAGAAACCAAGCAAGAGATAATAGCCAAGGTAGAGAGTGGGCAGATGTCTGATGTTTCCAGGCAGTGTGGCTTGAACAGGTCTACTGTAGGCACAATCTTAGCTAAGAAAGATATAATCAAGAAGACTTATGCAGCTATAGGAGTAATAAAATCACATCTGAGAAATAAAGAACATTGAAGAGTTCATAATGGAACCTGAAACAGAACTTCGAGAATTCTTAAATGTATAACACCAAGAAACTCAGTGAGATGTGATTTCTTCTGAAAAAGAGGAAGACGAAAGAGGACCAATTCTGACATCTGCTATTAAAGATCTTTTCAAGAAGTGAGAGGATGTCAGAACAATAGTCATCCAAATAGCATCCAAACCAGATTCATGTTAATAGGCTTGTGGATCTCTACAACGACAATGCTATTAATTAGTTCCAAAAAATCCTGAAGAAGAGAGAAAAGCAATCGACATTGGACAGATTCTTTAATCCCCACAAATGAAAAAAACCATGACTAATAAAAATGCAAGACTGTGTACATATGTATTCTTATTATTACATATAAATAAACGTAGTAGGGAACTATATAATTTTTTATTTTTGGGGTCTCCAGAACAAAATCAAATTCCCATAAAAATCTATGGTTAATTGATAATCGATTAACGAGCAATTTGGGTAGCAAACACAATCTTGGAATGGCTTATGTTCATTAGCCGATCACCCACTCACTGTAATATTAAGCTAGGTTCACGCTGTCATACAAATCACTATAAATGAACACTAACAAAGAAAAATGCTGATCGCTTCATACTACATAACACTGAGTAGGAACGTGATTATTCAAAGTGATTTTGTTTACAATTACCAGTTTTAAGGAAAAAGTTAGTTGGTTCAACAAACTGAAGTTCAGTAAAGGTTAAGATAATTTCAACTCCTAACAAACTGAACGAACTGCTTGAACAGTTACCAAAAGGGCACAACTGGCAGTTTGTATGTCAATATGAACCTTATTATTATTACAATATGACATTATTACAATATAACAATATGAATATTGTTATTTCAGAATAAAACATACAAAATAATTTTAATATGTATTTTTAAATAGGAACACCGGCATTGTGAGAGTGTTAGTTTGGCATCCTCAAACTATGAAATGTGCAGTTGCTCTTAGAGATGATTCAATTAGAATATTTACTTCAAATAATAAAATGATTCCAGTTTTAAAACATAGATTGCAAAAAGAAGTTACTTCAATGGCATGGAAGTAAGTATAATTTTTTATTTTTAACTTTTATTTAAAATTTATTTAGGAAATGATAGATTACACTGTTTGGCAAAAAATATTCTGCTCCCATCAAACATTTTCATTGATTTTTATAGTTTCAATGGTGCTGAATCCAAATCTGACAACAGAATTGGCCTAATATCCACCACTTTTGAGAGAAATGAGGTTTTGAAGGAAAACATTTTTTGTTCAAAATATATTTATTGGCTGCACACATTGCTGATTGTCTTATTAAATATAAATAAATTTATGTTAATTACTCCTTTTGCATAATTCTATACATTTGAAAACTGAACACTTAATATGTTTTTCCTTTTATATTCTTCTTCTGAAGTCTCTCACTTTAGAGTCCAGCAGTAATCCACTAACATCTTCTCGTTCCATCTTCCACTATACTACTTTTCCCATTTGAGAGTCTGATGGAACCTTTCTCCATGTTCATCAGAAACAGCTCCTAGGTTGGCAGGAAAAAACTAAATGGGAATGCAGGAAAGCATCTTGACCCATTGCAACCCAGTGTTTTGGCAGGACATTTCCAACTCCTCCACAGTTTCCTCAGTTGTTAGCTCATACATTCCCCAAAAAAATTCTTGCACACATTTTGGAATGTGTTTCACACTGTTCTTTCTGTGTGAAAGAACAGTGTGAAACAATTCAAAAATGTGTTAAGTTCATTCTTGAAACTAGAATCCTTTAAAAGCTGTTGTACTTGGGAACCAATAAAAATTTCCTCTTTTACTTTTGCATCAGGTCAACAAAGCTTTCTTCTCTGTCCTTATCTTTCACAAAGATTTTCATCAAACTGAGTTTGATATGAAGAGGAGGTAAGAGGATTTTAGTTTTCTCTACCAGAGCAGGAAAAGCAATATTCTTCTGACCTTATGTTTGCTGTGCAATTGGGCCACCTTTTTACCAAGTAGTGACTGGTTGTTGCTCGATTGTCTCATTCACATAAAAAACATCAGAATTTAGTGTATCTTCCTTGAAGACCTGTTAGCATATTATATAGTTCTCTGGTTTTATATTTTATTCAAATAACAGTAACAGAAAGTTTGTATAAGAGGCATTTTTCTACAAAAAGTAGTAATTTTTTTAAAAACTGTGTAATAGAAGATTTTGGACTTCAGATTCATATTCAGCACACTAAAATACATTTAAAAAATTACAAAGGGAAGATTTTGATGCAGAACAGTGTTATTTTCTGATGAGAAAACTTGTTTTAAAAAATTCTTTTCACGATGTAAATAGTTTTTAATTTTTGAAATAATTATAGAAGAAACACATTTTAGTTTAAATCAAAAGTATGAAATTGAGATTAGAAATACTTTGAAATTTATTTTTTCTTTTAATTATAATAATAATTTAATAAGTGTGTCAGTGTCTGTATTCAGGAATTTCCTAACAATATGGCATGTATTCAATATAGTGGCCTTCTGCAGTGTGATGTATGTATTTATATTCAATTCTAATGTTCCCAGGCTTTTGTGTAGTGTGTGTGGTATCACACCTGTACAGGAGAGAATGACAGGTACTATAAGCACCCTTTCCATCCTCCACAGATGCCTTATTTCCTGGGCGAGTTCTGTGCACTTGCTAATTTTTTCAGTGCATGTGTTTTGTACATTGTGAGTGTTTGGAATGGATATGTCTATAATATATGTGATTTTATTGTGTTTGTCAATGAATGTGATGTCTAGTCTGTTGTGGTAGATTGTTTTATCTGTTATTATGGCTCTGTCGTAATACATTTTGTGCATGTTGTTTTCCAATACTGTCTGTNCACATATCCGAAAAATCATAGAAATATTTTTACACACCATTTTTTTTTAATCACTATCCACCATTTCTAAAGACTCCATCATTTCCATGGAATCTGGATCATCGGTGGTATCAAATGATTCTCAAAATAAAAAAGAAAATTAAATTTTTATAACAGCATTGCAATTATTGATAGAAAAGAGATGATTGCAAGTCAGTTGTTACAAGTCTTGTTAGAACAATGGCACTTATTGTTCTATGAATGATGATACAATGTGAAACAATGAGACAAATAAAATGGAAATGGAACCTATGGCCATCTAATTGGAGTATTTTCTTTCTTTTATTTTTTTTTTCTGCCTTGTAGGCACTAAGAGGGCCTTTTTTAGCAAGCCAATTATGAGTTTGGCCAAATCCACAGTGAGGGTGATGAGGGATGAGGCCTGATGTGTTTAGACAGGCCATCTCTAAAAATTCATGGGTTTTTTGATTTTTCTCAACCCATCTGGATTCAATTCTGGGTTTCCCAGAGTGGCAGGCTGACACCTTAACTGTTCAACTATTCAGCCAAGTTGGGGTATGTGGGAATTACAATCTTTTGTGATTATATTTTGTTTTCATAAATATTGATTAAGACTCATTGTATGGAATATTTTATTTCCTGAATGACAAAGAGATATAAAAGAATACAGCCCATTGTATCAAAAATTCTTATAAAGTGTATACTTCTAAATAATGATCACACTGTAAATTTTATCATTTTTTCTTTATAATTATGTAAGTGATTATTTTAATATGTTTTAATAACTAATAATTTTATTTTGTAATTTTTAAGACCTTATTATTCTTCTATTCTTGCTGTTGCTTGTAATACGGGTGTTTTAGTATGGCAAATTGATCCAACTTCTTTAGTAACAAGGTAAATAATTTTTACTTTATTTTAATGAAATTATTTTAAATATGTTTATGAAATTTGAATAGTTGATTATTTATGTATTTTGCTATTATTATATCATATACATTTCTTTGAATATTAGAAAAATATGTACAGTACATAAGCTAGAATATGGAATGTTTTTAGCAATGTATTATCATTAAATAAGGCATTTCAAACCAATACCTTTTATTTTTTTACAATGATATGTTTATTCAGAATATGAACAAACAAATATTTTCAGTTTTATGTATAAACCTACTTCAGGTTATCTTTTGAAACATATACAAAGTTTTGAAATTCTACAAAGGAATGTTTATGTGCATTTTATGACATTAATGTTTAAAATTTAAAATATTTCAACTCTACAATACTTCTTTTTGAAGTTTTTGAAAATAACCAATTCAAGAAACCAAGAACACACGAGGACCGTGCAAAGCAGACTGATTAACTACAGTTAGCTAACACGGCTAGCTGATTGGTGTGGGCATGCAATTTAGTACCACTGCCGGTGTTGGGAATGAGGACGAATACAGAAAATACTGATGAATATGGAGGGAAAAAAGTCATCAAAATGTGACGAATATTGAATATTACGAATACAGAGGTTCCACTATTTTAAATTTCTATACAGCAGGACTGGCCAACAAGTCGATCATGATTGACCGGTCAATTGCTGCATCATTTTTGGTCAATCACAAATAATATGACTTGTTAAAATGCAAAAAACACTTGTAATTTTAATAAGAATATTAAATCATATTTTTCACAGAGAAATTTTTTAACTGTTTGCTATAGGTTGGTAATACCATGTTCTAAGAGATGAATAGGAAGAAGAGTCCTTTGTGTCAATATCATTGATAGCTAAGTATGTTGTTGTTTTAAAAACTGTTTTATTATACCATAAATAGTTCAGTTCACTGTAAAAATGACTGTGCTGAAGAGCTGAAGCAAAATTATAATTTGTGTGACAGAAAGAAATGTGGAATTTTTTGGTTGTGGTGAAAAATACTTAGTATCATTTTATTTATACTTTAGTGTCTTTACTAAAACAAAATAACCTGGTACATTAATTTTTGTATGATACATAAATAAACTATGTTTTGCAGGATAATTTTATTAGGATGGCTTATTAAGCTTTTATGAAACAAAACTATGGAGTAGATCATTGGTACTTTTGACTCTTGAAAGTAGATCAAACCTTACTATGAAGTGGCCAGTCATGCCATATGGAAAAGTTATACTTAATACTGGATCATGTACCTGTATGAAATAACATGAAAATATATAAAATAAATCATAGATTAATGTGCCTTACATTTAATATCATGGTGCATTAATAATTTGAATGTTCTCTATGTATAAATCTGGCTCTTATTTTTTCAGGGTTATCTATGACCTTCAAGAATTATAAAGGGAATTAGAGTCTTTATAGTTGATGTATTTATTTTGTATGTTGCTTTGTAGATTTCCCATGTTTCAAGAATTCTAAAATGATGTTTATCCAATACTGGTTTTATTAACTTAGCTTTGTTTAGCACCATGGACACACTGTGTTTCACAGGTTAAACAATATTTATAAAATAAACCAAAAACATTTGTTCATATTCTGAATAAACCTATCACTGGAAAAGTGTAACAGTTATTAATTTAAAGTTCTTTGTTTCACTTTATTTTTTTTGTATGTTAAATAAGTTATCCAAATTAGAGTTTTAACATTCCTTCTATTGAATATAATGTGATTAACTGAATATTTCATGAAACATATTGAATTAAAAACTTCTTTTAAAAAATTGTTATAAAATTTATTTGAAAATAAAGCTAAAATATAAGACTAGCCATAATATGTGGTGATAATCAAGAGCACACTAAAACCTTTGATGGAAATGACCTTTAATTTGAAGCTTTAAAAAAATCAATAGTAGTGGTTTGACATGTACTAATCACAAAATTAATTTTTTGAGTAAGATTACAAATATTATTATAAAATTAAGTGAGCACAAGCAAATTATGAGTAGAAATAAAATGGTGAGTAAATTAAATTTGGTGGAATAGAATTAATTCAAATAATTTGGTGAGTAAATTAAATTATTATTTTGGTGGCATAGAATTCTTTTCAGATTACAAATAATTGTGATGAAATAATATAAAGTGCAGTGAGAGTAATTTGTCGCATTTTATTATCAATACTGAAATTATTTGTTGAGTAAACTAAATTATTATTTAACAAATTATTTTTGAGTTTTATTATCAATACCAAAATTAATTATTTTCTTGATTGATATTTATTGAATAAAATGGAATTATTTCAGATAACTTTTAAAATAAAAATTTGTTGTATTTCTAATCACAAATTTGTAAAAAAGGAGTTAAAGTTTTATTATAAATATTTTAATTAATTTTCCCAAAGTGAGTGGTAATTTGAAATAATATAACAATGAAATTATTTTGAAAAGTGTTTTTATTGATAAATTAAGATTACAAATTATTATTATGATTACAAATAATTTTTGTGGAGTGGAATTATTTCAGATTACAAATAATTTTTAAAATTTGCTGAGTAAATTAAGATTTCAAATAATTTGTCAAGTTTTATTATCAATACTTATAAAAATATAACACTGAAATTATTTAAGTATTTCCACTTTTTCTCTCAGTTTATTTAAAGCATGACACATTTCTGCGAGTAAGTGCAGGAATAAATTTTTGCAATTGCTGACAATATATTCTTGATTTAATTTTTGATATTTAAAAATGTGACACCAAGAAAGTTGATTTTGGAACTCGTCAATAAATTCATCAAGTTTTTGGTAGCGAGAAACAAAATCCCAGTTTAGATAATTTTTTAATTCGCTTAAAGTCTCGGTTTTTAATTGTTAGTATTTTAAAACTTATTTTATATCAAATCTATGAATGACAACGATAATAAAATCATCTGAAAGAGTTTGAAATTCTGCAATTTTATTCCAATCAAGATGTTTTAAAAACCTCTTTAAGAAATGTTTGTGTAATTTCTGATATTGGCAAATTAAATCCCATTTTATGTAATAAATATAATAAATGAATAAGGGAATATGTAATTTTTCCATATGTATTTCCAATTTAACTTATCTGCAAATTCTGAAATAAATGTTTTAGATCAGTGTTTCTCAACCTCGAACGAATCGTTGCCCCCTTCAATAAAACCATTATTGCTTCCTCACTTCAAAATTCCGATGCCAAGGGCCAAGGCTAATGCCAAATTCGTACTTTGTTTAATAGACTAGTGATTGGTATAATGTTATTTGTTTAATTATTGTATGATATAACGAATAAAATATCTAATTATTCTTAATATAATGAAAACATTATATTAAGAATATAATGTTTTCATTTGTTTCAATTTGTTTCAAATTCAGAAAAATTCAATGTTTTCTGGGCGATATAGTATATATCGCCCAGAAAATTGTTTTTTGCCCCCAAAATATAAAATGGTTACTAATCGCCCCCTCAACATGGAAAAACACCCACATGGGGGTGATATTGCCCCTGTTGAGAAACACTGTTTTAGATAAATCGGTTCAGTGACTGATGATATCTCAGACAATATAATTTTTAAAATAACAAATAGTATGTTCTTCTAATGGTGAGAAAGTTTCCCAGTCGAAGCAGGGTTGAGTACAAACAATTTTTTTATATTTGTTTATTTGACTACATTATTTGAACTGAATACAGATTTAAATTGAGTATATATATTAAATGGAAATGGTACATTCTCCAAAAAATCTCTGTCAGTAAAGTGTAATGAATAAGAGTTGGATGTGTAATTTTTAAAAAAATTATTTCAGCTATAGCTGTTCTGGCTCTAATAGTAATATTTTCTCATCTGAAATTATATATCAGCACACCAATGTTTCTGTGGAAGTTATCTGAAATAATTCCATTTTACTCAACAAATATATCAATTGAGAAAATAATTAATTTCAGTATTGATAATAAAACTCTACAAATTACTGTCACTGCAATTTAATATTATTTCATCAAAATTATTTATAATCTGAAAATAATTGTATTCCACTAAATTTAATTTACTCATCACTTAATTTTATAATAATATTTGTAATCTTACTCGAAAAATTAATTTTGTGATTAGTATGTGTCAAACCACTACTACTAAAGTCAGTGTTAAAATGTCTTAAACACAATACTTGAAAATATTTGCATATGAAGAAAGCAATAAATATAAAGTCACCATGATAGTTCCAGCTGAGACCAGGCACAAAACAAGATCAAAGTTTGTTTTTTGAACATTATAACACTGACTTTTACTTTCCCAGCTACTTTGTATATAACACAAAAATATTGTAATCATGTTGAATCTGACTCTGGATGTTTTGCAAATCATGACATTTTGTGAACCCAGAAAAGTCAAAAAGGGGGAGAAAAAAATTGTGTGTGTGTGTGTGTGTGTGCAGGATGGGGTAAAGATTAAGAAACAAAATTTGGCACAATAACTGATATATAAGGGGCATTAATGCTATTAAATTTTGGTGGTTAAAGGTTGAGGAAGTGGGGAGATAGAGGAGGTCATGTATCATATTTTGAGTGGGGTCAGACTTGATGAAAATTTTAGTTGTTAGTATTTACAAGTTTTTTAAAATAACTTGTCTCTACCTGTGAAAACCCAGAATAAATAACAAAAAGATACTTCTAAAAAAGGGAAACAGCAGGTTAAATAGCAGGATATAACTAATGTATGACCTGAGAGAGTTTCCGCTTTCACTTTCTCAGTGTCGAAAATGACACTTTCTCACAATCTTTTAATCTTTATCTGTATTTTGCTGTTCTATGTTCTAATACACTAACAAATGGCCAAATCTGGCAGTCATCACCAGTTGCTCCATCAAGATAATCGTATCTGTGCATCTCCCTTTTGTTAATGGATTCATCACCTCCTTCATCAACATATTCACCTCCATCATCTATGGATATGTCACCTCCTTTCTCATCACATTCACCTACGTCATCCTTAGAACCTCCACAACAAGGTATTTATCAACTTATGAACTTTTGTAAACTCTCTCTCTTGTGCTCAAGGCTACTAAAAATATAAATTGACTTGCTAGAGTTGTCAGAAATTAAATCCTATGAACAAATAAACAGGTATTTGTTTGTAGATATTTGTTTAGGTATTTGTTTATTTAACTTGTATCCAAGTATTTTTCTTCTGCCATGCTGTCTCTTGGACCTGCTCCAGTCCTAATCCAACCACCTACATATGAATCTGCTTGCACAACTAAAGTAGAACAAAAATAAAAAGCTGTCACAGCTTCTGTGACAATTGGAGAAGGTGCAGTGATGTCATCGTGATGAGGCATTTAAGAGAAGTTGACCCTGCCCTCAAAATTAAGTTTTTGTCATTTTGTAATAATTAATTATATAAAAGTTATGTTTTAATAACATTTCATAACAGATGACACCACAAATAACTTTTTAACTTTGAATTAGTGTCATAGTGTTTTTTCACCAGCAATGCAACTCTGCTAATTCTTTAATAATGCTGTATAGCCTCAAATAAAAGGTCAACACTGTCAAAGATTTTAGTGTGTTTCTGATTTTCAGCTTCATTATGATTAGTCTTGTGTTTTGAAATTTTAATTTCAAACAAATTTTAAAAGATTTGTTTTTGCCTATTGGAAAGTTTTAGTTTTTAAAAATAAAAATATATTAGTTAATGGATATTAAAATGTTAACATTATACTTGTTAACTAAATGAAATAAAAAAAAAGTCCAGAAAAAATTATATAAAACATTTGCAATTGCATAGTGATGTGAGACAATAACTACAGAACTTAGGCAAGGAGACTCTCTTCCATTGTTGTTTAATCTAACACTTGAAAAAGTTATTTGTAAATTGCAGCAAAGTGACAAAGGAGTGGAACTGAATGGCTTTCATCAAGCATTGGCATATGTGGATGATGATGCCTGATAATTCATGAAGATCTAATCAAAAATGCATCACTATTAATCTCAGAAGCAGAGAGGGTGGGCCTGAGGGTTAATGAATCAAAAACAAAGTATCTGCTATTATCAAGAGGACATCAGAGTAAGGGAAGTACACATTTAAGAGGATCAGTGACTTCACTTACCAAGGATTTGTAGTGGACAATAACAACTCCATTATAACAGAAATTTACTCAAGGCTCATAAGGCTAACACATCATACTATAGCTTGCAAAAGTACTAAAATCTAAACAAGTTTCCAGAAAGGTAAAGTTAAGATTGTATAAAATTATTATCTGACCAATGCTGTTTTATGGCTGTGAAACATGGCCTGTGCATAGTCACCAAACACAAATTGCAAGTTGTTTAAAACAAAGTTCTCAGGAAGATCTTTGGACCTGTAGTAGAACTGGTACTAAGAGAAAGATGTGCAATGAGGAACTACATCACAAAGTTGATGACTATGACATCATACAAACTATAGCTGAGAGATGCATCAAATGGGCAGGACATGTAGCCCATACTGACATGAATTGAGATGTGCACAAAGTGCTGACCTGGGAACCTTAGGGTAAACAACCTTTTGGACTCCCTCCAGTGCAATTGAAAGATGGATGAGAGGAATCTACAGAGAGTGGGTGTACTGTCTGATGGATGTAAGAGGCTCAAGATCGAAAAATGGAAGGAGATTGTCACAATGGTTTTGGGCCCAAGAAGCTCAAATAACCATTGAATAAATGATAGTCATGTGAGACAAATGCTATTTTTAATGTCTTTTTATTATAGTTTAAATACATAAATAAATTATAAATGCTAAGAAGGCATACAATAATAATTTCTAAATAATATCAAATTAAATAGTTGTCAGAATGTGAAGGATTTTCATGAAGATTTTAAGAAGGTTCTTCAGTGGAAATGCATGTTTATGCTTTGATTAAAAATTTTATTAAAAGTAAAATTTTTAATCAAATATTGTAAATTTTCTCCTTCGTAAACCACTGTGAAAAAATGGACAGCCCTTTTTTTTGAGGTCATAGTAAATATTGAATTATTAATTAACTTGGATTTGATACTTTTCATTTCTTGTTCAGTATCTGTTTGCAGTATAAGTCAAGTAATTACAGTAGATATACTGCTACAGGGTGTTCAAAAAATTACTGTAAAGGGCTTAAGTAAAGTTTTAATAAAATACAAGTTTTATATACAATATTGTTGTTTTTCCTACAGTAAGATGCTGGAAATGTCTCCCAATGTTCCCAAAATCCAAGGAAGTTAAGTCTAGAGACCTAGCATGCTGGACTCCACCAGAGATTGTGATCAGCAAAGAAAAGTTTTCATAAAACTGTAGCCCAAAAACCAGAATATCTGAGAACAAGCAGTAATGACATCTTTCACAAAGTGGAAACTTAGGTCATACAACTTATGAGTCTCTTATGCAATATCATACATGTAACAATAAAGTCATTACAAATTTCTTACTATACAGTAATTTTTCAGACACTATGTAGTATTAACTTTATACAATAACTTATCTAGTAAAATTCATTTTCTATATAAAACTTTTATGATATAAATACAAAAACAGAACTAAACTGTTTTGTATATCAACACATATATAAATACATACATAAATACATACATACATGAAAGACATCGAAAGTACACAAGGTGTTTAGCCGGATGAAAAGAGGGTAAGGGAAGGGGGGAAATAGACAGTAGAGAAAGATAGGATCCCTCTGAACAGCGTACATACAAGGGCTGTTCGAAAAGTTCGCGGCCTTGCCTATATGCGGTGCTGCGGTCAGTTTAATTTTTGGCGGGAATAATTCAGCCATCCTTGCTAAAGATACGATACCAATTTCCGCTTGATTAGTTGTAAAGTTTTGCCACGACAGCTTAGCAGATAGTCAATGTGCACATGCTTTGTGAAAAATGGAGAAGACGGAGACTCGTGCGGTCATAAAATACCTGATGAAAAAGGGTTGACCGCATCTCAAATCAAAGCTGACATGGATGAAGTTTTGGGAGAGTCTGCTCCTTCGTAAACCACTGTGAAAAAATGGACAGCCCTTTTTAAATCTGGCAGAGAGAGTGTGAAACATGACCCTCGCAGCGGACGGCCGTCAACTGCTGTCACTGAAAAAAATATCGACAAAGTTTACGATTTGGTGTTAGCAGATCGCCGTTTGAAAACGCGTGAGATA